GGGGTGTGTGGCGCCGTGTGTTGTGGTGGAGGGCCCCCCTGCCGATGGCAGGGGTTGGAGCTGGAGGAGCTTTAAGCTCCCTTCAACCCAAACGAGGCTGGGATTCTGTGATTTACTCCAGCTCAGTGTTTTCCTTTCACTCTTTTCTGCCCACCTCTTGGTTCCTAAGAGCATTCAGCGGAGGCTTTGAACTCCAGTGGGCAACACACCTCTTCCATTCCTCTTCCATCACTACTTCAGGCCCCAGCGTTTTATGCTGAGCCGCTACTCACAGTTCAGTCCCTGACCAGGCTTGGGAGAGAGGGATAAGGATTTTCACAAGCTATAATAAATCAGGAGCCAAAGCTGATCCTGGGGAGGAAGGGAGAGTGGCCTGGCCTGTCTCTTGTAACCTGCTCACAGAAATGCCCCTGCTCTGGGGGAATGAACTCGGCTGAAGAACAGCTTCTTGCTTTAATTGCAACACGCTTCTGAACCATGAAGGCAGTTGCAACTCCTTGGGTGGAGCTGTATGAAATGCAGGACATGAGAAGAGCCTGTGCCATCGTTTGTGATCCCTTCCATCATCTTCCAGAGACAGCAGCCTTAAAAAACAACTTCAGAAATAGTTTATTTGTTTTGGCAAAAAACTAGAGTAACAAACTTTATCTGGGTTCAAGTACAGGTTATAAACACAAGAAGGACCTGTGGCCAGCACCACTGCTCCACCTCCAGCACCCATGGTCCTTGGAAAGGTCAAACTAAAAGCCTTAACTACACCTCCAAAACCCAACTCCACGGAAGGGAGAGCGCTGCTGCAAGAGCAGGGCAGAGTCACACAGCCATGAATCGAGGGGAGCCAAGCTTTTACCTGTCAGTCAGGGAGGGCAGAACAGCAAGGGAATGGAAGGCTGGAGAATTCTGTACGTGATGTTCAAAGAGGAGGCATGAGCAGGAGGGTTCTGCATGACAATCAACTTACTTAGTTTTCCTGTGTGCCAGGGTCAGCCACTGAGAACAAGCTGGTGCGAGTGGCTGGTGCTGTGAATCCAGCCCAGCTCACAGGAGGCTCAGCTGCATGTGCTGGGGGTGAAGAAAGCTGGTGCATTGTAAAGGGGCACACGTGGGCTGGTGACCCAGGCAGCCCTGGGAGGAGAGGCTGGAACTCCCTGTCTGGCACTCGGAGTGCTTGGGATCAAGGAAGAGGAGCCTCCGAAGCGCACTCCAGGACTGGAAGAGAAGAACCCGGTGCTGCAGAGAACAGCCAGTGCAGCGGCTGTGCCTGGAATGGAATCAGGTCATCTTCCACCTCACAGCAGGAACTAAATTTAAGAACATCAGCCCTTTATTTCCCTCCCACTGTCAAAACTTACCCTGTGACAACTCTGAGGAGCTCTAAGAGAATGCCTCCAACTAAGAGCTGCCCACCTCCCTGTAACTCTAAGGCACCTTAAAGGAGAAAGAACCAAAGAGGGTAGGGACGTGCAGCCTTCAACTGTGATATGAGGAAAACAGTGATTTTTAGAAGCACATCAACAGAGACCATAATGACACAGACTCGCTCAACCCACTGCTGTGATCTACCAGTGCTCAGCTGTTACAGCTGGGGCTCTGGGCACAGCACCATCCGGAGGACTCCACAGTTCCTTGGGGCTGATCCTTTTCCAGCTCAGGTCTGTCCATTTGTTTCCAGGCTACTTCTTAAGTAAACAGGCAGCTGAAGTTCCTTCCCAAGGACCTGTAAACTCTTCTATGTGTAACATTCGTCACCTTTTATGAGCACAACCAATAAATTACAATGTCCAGAAAGCTCCTCCAGAAGCAGGCGTAGTCCCTGTTTCCCTAGAATTCCCAGTCATCCACATCCAGCTGCTCCAGGTTTGATACCAGCCCAAAAATGCCACTGGGATCCTGGGGCCTTGTTCCTTCCAAGTTGGTGATTGGGGTGACAGGGCGCAGAAGTTCGGGGAGTGCTTCGGAAGCGCGACGCTTGATCTGCACACACAGGAGAGAACTGAGGTGCTGAGCTGCCTCCCCACGCTGCCACAGCACAATCCAGCACCAACGTGGCTACAGGCAGAAGCAAGGCCCGGGTCACCTCAGTCTGGTCTCATTAAGGACCAGGTTAGGACTGCCCTAAGCCTCTGGGTGACAACTGTTCCGGGGTACAGGACAGGCAGGTTTATATCCTCTGGTCAGGTAAGGACCTTGAGAACAGCCCATCCACCTCCCAGGAGAACTGGAGGACCAAACTGCACTACAGTTACTCACCCAACTAATCTAATCCTTTCAGATCACAGGAAACTCAGCAACTGGACGTTCCCCCGTTGCACAGGTTCAGTGACAACAAAACAACTACAGAAAAGCCACTGTTCTTTGTCTGCCAGTTGAACAAGTTCCTTACCTGCTTGAAAAAGGGGTGGTTGAGCAGAGTGCCAGCGCTCGGCCTGTGGGAGGGAGTGAGGATCAAGTAAGTACACAAGAAAACGTGTCAGTGTTTGAAGTTAGGGAGTGGTAGTGGGAGAAGAGACCAGGGTCCTTCCTGCCTCTCTCATTTATCAGCTGTAGGACGTTTCCCTTTTGAAACGAGGAGCACTGTTTATGCTGACATGTTTTGTGCCAGCACCTTCACAAGTTACTGATGTGCACATCCCAGCATTTGGTCAAGTTTCTGAACAGGGAGGTGTGCTGGAAAGGTTTGTCATGGAGAAAGACAACTTCAGGCTCACTACAGAGGAAAATACAGTTCTTGGTCACCTCCCCTTGTCATCTCTGCTGTCTGAACAGCAGACATTGGCAGTGATGGAAACTGGCTGAACACAGTCTCACAGGGACCAGAAATTCAAGTTGTTCAGTATATTTTCCTGCCATGTAGCACCACTCTACCCCTCAAAGAAGACTGCAAAGTAGTTCTTCAGGTTCTCTTACAGAATCTTGACTCATGAGCACTTACAGAAAGTGCTCAAAGTATTAACACTGCTCTTCTTCTACATGCTTGGGCTGCTCCTCTCAATGTACAGAGCACAACCTCACTCCACTCCACTTTGGGAATGAAAACCTCAAACCACCTCTGCTGGCTTTCATGGTTTAAGCAGCCCTGGACTAGTGCAGGTCTGTGAAGCTGCTTTCCCCTGGCTTTACCTGAAGTCGGGGTTCCGCTGGAGGCACTGCTCTACGAAGTTATGGAAGCAGGTGGAGAAGGTCCGAAGATAAGGGTGCAGGGTTGGCTCTCCATTGGCTGCTCTCACATTGCTGACAGCCATGTTCTCACCCATCCCATAATTAGCACTCGAACGGGAGGTCTTC